TTTATTTCCCATTCTTAATTTCTCTCAGGAAAGTGGCAGCAAACTACTTTCTTGAATTTGTGCAGTTCATTAGCTATAGGCACATCCATATTGCTATTAGAAAGGAAGTTCCAGGTTTTGACCCAGTGACAGGAAAGGAACAATAATGTAGTTCCAAATCGGGCTGGTATATGGCTTAGAGGCAAACTTGCAAATGATGCTGTTCCCATGCATCTGCTACCCTTGTTCTTCTAGTAGAGGTGAGATTTTGAAAGATGCTGTTGAAGGAACATTGGTGAGCGACTGCGGTGCAACTTGTAGATGGTACACGCTGCTGCCACTGTGCATCGATGATGGTGAGAGTGAATGTTGAAGGTGGTGGTTGGGGTGCCAGTCAAGCAGGCTGTTTTGTCTGGATGGTGTCAAGCTTGAGTTTTTCTGGAGATGCACTCATCGAAGTAAGTGAAAAATATTTAATTCCACTCTTGACTTGTACATTGCAGTTCTAGATTGGAGAGTTAACAGGACAAGAGGTATCACAGCATAATTTCTAGCCTCTGATCTACTTTTATAGCCACAGTATTAATAAGAGTGGTCCAGTTTGATTTCTGGTTACCTCCTGAATGTTGATCGTAGGGTGTTCAATCATGGTGAGGATAATGAATATGAAGTGGTGATGTTTAGATCATCTCCAATAAAAGACAGCCATTACCTGGCATTTGTGTGGATTGAATGTTATTGGCCACTTGTCAGCCCAAGCCAGCATGTTGTCCAGTTCTTACTGCATATGGACATGAATAAGTTTATTGTCTGAGTTGCTGCAAATGATGATGAAAATTGCTGACGATTGCACAAACACCCCAACTTCTGACTTTATGTTGGATGTATAGTTATTGATGAAGAAGCTGAAGATGGTTGGACCTTGAACTCTACCTTGACGAACACCTGTGGTAATATCCTTGGGCTGAGATTATTGACCTCCAACAACCATAACCGTTTTCCTTAGTATTGGTATGACTTCACCCAGCAGGAAAAGTTTTCCATTGTTTGCCATTCACTCCAGCTTTGCAAGGGCTTTTCGGAGTCATAACTTGTCAAATTCTGCCTTGATGTCAATCTCATCTCACTTCTGGAGTTCAGCTCTTTTGTCTATTTGTGCCAAAGCTACACCGAGATCAGGAGCTGAGCTGCCCTGTTAGTGAGTAGGTTATTCCTTTGCAAGTGATTACCACTTCCAACACTTTGCTGATGATTGAGAACAGACTGATGGGACAGTATTTGACCGTCTTGGATTTGTCCTGCTTTTTGTGGACAGGGCATACCTTGGCAATTTTCAATGTTGTAGGGTAGAGGTCAGTATTGTAGTTGTATTGGAATTGCTTAGCTAGGAGCGCAGCAAATTCTAGAGTTCAGATTTTCATGCTATTGCTGGAATATTACCCGTAGCTTTTGCATTATCTAGTGTCAACAGATTCTTGATATCATGTGGAGTGAATCGAATTAGTTTAAGACTGCCATCTATGATGTTGGGGACCTCGGGAAGAGGTTGAAATGGATCATCCGTTCAGTACTTCTGATTGAATATGAAAGCAAATACTTCAGCCTTGTCTTTTACATTGACATGCTGGGCTTTGGCAGTGTTAAGGTTGGGGATATTTCCAGAGCAGCAACTTCTGTTAGTTGCTTAATTGCCCATCACCATTCACAACTATTTGAGGCAGGATTGCAGAGCTTCGTTCTGATCCATTGGTTGTAAGATCACTTAGCTGTGTGTATGCAAGCTGCTTCTGCTGGTTGGCATGCAAGTGGTCCTTGTTGCAGTTTCAGGCTGATATCTCATGCTTAGGCACGCCTGCCGCTGCATCTGGCATGCATCCTTTATTGAACTTGGTTTGGTCTCCCGTTTTGGTAATAGTAGAGGGGGTACGCTGGGCCCTGAGGTTTCAGATTGTGATTGAATACAGCTTTGTTATTGACGATCCATGATGTCTCATGGATGCCCAGTTTTGAGATGGTAGATGTGTCCAAAGTCTGTCTTATTTAGCTTGGTGGGAGTGCTGTACAACGTAGACAGTGATTTGGTACAACTGAGTAATTTACTAGGCTATTTCAGAAGTTGGTTAACACTCATCCACATTTTTGTGTATCTAAAGTCAGGTTGGCTAAACCATATAAGGAAGGAAGATGACTTTTCTGAGGGATATTAGTAAATCAGATGGGTCAATACAATGAGATAACAAGGTGTAGAGCTGGATGAACACAGCAGGCCAAGCAGCATCAGAGGAGCAGGAAGACTGACGTTTCAGGCCTAATACAATAATCTGTTAGTTTCATGGTCAGTATTACTCAGGCTAGTTTTTTGCTCCAGATGTATTAATTAATTCAATATAAATTCCACCAGCTCTCTTGATGAGGTTTGAAATTGTCCCTCCGCTGCACTCTTCCTAGATTCTGGATTACTCATTCAGTAACATGACGGCCACCACCATCCCCAGGCCTAAATTTTACTGCATTTAAATTCCCCAGCTGCCATTGTGGGATTTGAATTAATGTCTCCTGATTGTGACACCTGGGTGACTGGTCAGTTTTATAACCATTCTGCTGCAGTTCCCACATAATTTCTATTATCAATGTGGACAAAGAAATTTATGACAAAAATAAAATAACATGGCCAGATTGTATGATTTTAAAATTTATATCTGGTCCAAATATTTATTACTCAAGACAAATTATTGTCTTCAAGTGCGGCAGGGTTCGAGTCAGCGTATCTCATGTCGCAGGGAATTGATTAGTGTTAATTGCTAACTGAAAATTTACACACTTAAGCTCTGCTCAGTCTTTCTGACCTTTATTCTTTTTTTTAGACTTTATCTTTAAACCTTATCATCTACGCCTCATGATGAAAATCTCAAAATGCTTTACGTTTCCTTTAATCTTGATTGCATTGTTTGATTTTGGAAGTGGTAGATCTTTTTCTTAAATGGTTCTCTTTAGCTTGAAGGAGTAGCCAAAGGCTATCTTGTGTTTTTTTTTAAACTAGATTGATTAGTTTATTTCTGCAGTACCTGTCACTAAGTTAATCTTGGTAAATATTGGATCAGTAGCAATGTTTGGATGCTTAAGGCCACTGGAGAATTATTGTGCATGAGCAAACTGTTCAGAGCACTAATGCAGTCATTGGCAACTGTTTTGTTTCTGAAGCCGCATGCTTTTATTTTGAAAGTTCTACAGTCTCCCTTAAATGCAAAAGAACTCATTCATTATGTATTTATGTTAATTATACAGTTAAACATAGTCATTTTTATTCATTCATGGGACATGAATGTTACTGGCTAGCCAACCAGCATTTATTGTCTATCCCTAGTTGGTTTTGAGAAGATGGTGGTGAGCTGCCTTCTTGAGCCACCCTGCAGTTCACATGCTGTAGGTTGATCTACAGGGTCTTGAGGGGGGGAATTCAGAATTTTGACCCAAAATCCTAGACTTCCTTCCCTAATGGTAGGTGCATCAACACCACATGGTCTTCAAGAGTTCAAGAACGTGACTGACCACGGTGTTCTCAAAGGCAATTAGGGATGAAAAATAAATATTGGCCTTACCATCCGTGTTTCAAGACCATGGACATTTTTTTAACAAAAAGTCTCTGAACAATGAGGCAGAAACAAATGGTTGAAAGATGAGCGAGACCCAAAAGCTAGCCCCAGATTGCTTAAAGACTCATTAATTCACTCACTCTGATCTGATTGTAAATCAAACTTCATATCACCCATTCAAATTTTATAGTTCAGCTTTATTGGCTCATTGCAGTCCAATGACATAGAAAGTGAAGATACGACACATTTCAAAGAAGCACCGCTTTACACAATTCATCAACTATTGAAAGCAGTTTCTTTTCAGAGAGACCTATGAAATAAATCTTACCCAGTAGTCTGGTATCTGAAAGGAAGTACCGTTTTAATTCATGTTCAATTTTGAAAATCTTCTGGATTTTAATATCGGAAAATGCCAGTTTCAATAAATACACATTAAAGACAGACCAAGGCAGATTGTTTAAGGCTCACGTCCTACACAGTAGTTATTTTTAACAATTCCCTTTAAACACCTCTTAGACCTACCTGACCGTCCCCCACCAGTGGACATCACCTGCACTAATGACTGTATTTATTAAACTGAATACAATTTTTAATATTTTAAATAATTAACTTTAACACTTGCATGAATTCAGGGAGTTGTCAAGATTGTTCATTGTTATAATTTGGGTATATAGACATATTTTGCTGTTTAGTTCAGACTGATTCTGGGTTTCCTATTTCAAACTTCGTAAATTAGTTTGGAGTGAGTAGTGTTGTGGGTAAATCACTATAAGCTACCTTTAATTTGGTTACTTATTGAGAAATTGCAAGTACTAAAACAATGATTTGAACTTTATTGCATGTAACAATCAAAGTAAGACCCTTCAGGCAAGTAGTGCCTCACAGCTCAGCTTGGCTTTTGCCCAATTAATGGTGGAATTTAACGACAATTCTGTCTTTGATATCCAGGGTTCAATCCTTGTGTAGTGTTCTCCTACGAAGTTCTGTTGCTGAATCGTTCTGGGTGTCAGATTCTTATAAAATGTTCTCTTTCGAGTTTGTGGTGTGACGTTATTGATGATCCTTTAAATTCGTTTATCTCCAACATTGATAACACTTCTGGACACCTCAAGTCTGTAGCTTGCCGACTTATCAGAAGTAGCTCCCCAGTTCCTTGTTACAATCAGTGTTAGCTGTCTATTTGAAGACACATCCTGTCTTGTACTTAACTCCTTAAATTCTTCAGGACATTGCTTCTCCAGGAAGTCTTAATTGCCAATTTTTAACGAGGAGCAGATGATAAAGCAGTATTACCTCCTCTCTCCCAAGAATTAACTTGCTTATGTTGCTTTGACTACTTCTTCCCAAGGATGATTAATTAGCATATTGCTTTTAATTCCTTTATAGCAGCTACTCCTTGTCCTTTTCATCTCACAAAAATGATTTATTCCAGAAAGTTATTGCTGATTCTTTCAATCCATGAAGTTATTCAATTTCTGAAGATACATTGTCATAGTGGGGTTGCATATTCTTCATGAAAAAATGCTTTTGCTAACTACAGTTATGTTTCTGTTGTCTTCAGGCCTAAAACTGGGAGAAAAATTGGCCCTTCATCAGTTGGTTCTGGAACCCCGCTCTACCCACAGTCTCGCGGACTTGTTCCCAAGTAAACCTCATCTCCCGAAGATGAAGCTTGTTAGCAGGGAGATAAAAATTAGTCGAATAAACTGTATCTTGGGTCTAATTTTAGTCTGACCCCTCACGTTAGAAATATAGCTTGGATTCAGATTAAAATGTTACATTTCTTTTGTTTTTACAATGTAAATCATTCAACTGAGAGACTAGGACACCTTCCTAGGTACCCACAACTCTTAATCTGACAAATTATCTGTTTCATAATATAACCCAAGTGGATAGTGCCACTGCTTGCTGCTACAAAACCACGTTATCCTATATATATATATCAAAAGAATACCTCACATTTTATGAGGCAATTTATTGTATTTAAAGATTTCTTAAAAATGCTGCATAACTTTGTCTTTAATTTATTAGATTTTCTCGTTGCAAAATTGAATGTAGATACAGTAGATTTGAACTTTTGTTATTGTATAGTTGGTAATTTTCAGAAACATTTTTTATGACTGTTTAATTTGGCTGTTAAATGTTTAGTATAATTTTTTTTTCAGACCCGACAATAGTCATAAACAATAAAGCTGGCCAGTGGTCTGACATTACAATACACAGTTAGTAATTGTTGCTTATTTAGGGGATATCTAAAGATAACCTGTAGCTTCTCTGAACCATATTTTTAAAACTCCAACTCAGAAGTTGTAAAAGTGGCGAATTAGTTTAGCAGCAAGGGATATCATTCAGGAGTAAATGTGATTTACTTATTTTCACATTCTGCCAGTATAAGGTCATAAATATTTTTTAAGTTGTTGGTTCTGATTATAAATAACATTTGTACACCAACTTATAAACAAAGCTTCCCACAGTGATATTTGTTTCTTTTTCAGATTACTAAGAATGTCTCCTAACTCAGATTCTAAAATATTTTTACTTCCAGTCACCTCTAAACTTGATGAAACATTATGCTGTCACGTGGTGTCATATTTCTTTTCTTACAGCAACTAAGTCCATTAGTTATTGATGTGCGGCAAATTATCTATATCGCAGAGTCTCATTTGACAGAATCACTGGAAAATAAACCATGTTGATTTTCATGTCTAACCTGTGATTCATTAAACAAGGTTTGGTTGTAGAAATTGAGATTTTCTAAATTTCCCCCAAATATGCTCAATAATTGGTCATTTTAAGTGTTTCACTAAATGATTTTAGGTAGCCAAATTAAAATGTTACTCACTGCTTTTGTTGCAATTATTGGCATGTTTTAAAGCATTATGTCTGATGGTTCTTTATATTACAGGTCAAACACATTATAGCATTCAAAATCAAGTAAGGAATTAGGAATGTGAAAGGGGATGACTGAGAGTTTAATTGAAGCTGCACGGTGGCTCAGTGGTTAGTACTGCTGCCCCACAGCGCCAGGGACCCGGGTTTGATTCCACCCTCAGGCGACTGTCTGTGTGGAGTTTGCACATTCTCCCCGTGTCTGCGTGGGTTTCCTCTGAGTGTTTTGGTTTCCTCCCACAGTCCAAAGATGTGCAGGTTAGGTGGATTGGCCATGCTAAATTGCCCATAGTGTTCAGCGATAAGTAGATTAGGTTGGTTGGGTCTGGGTGGGATGCTCTGTGGGTCGGTGTGGACTTGTTGGGCCAAAGGGCCTGTTCCCACACTGTAGGGATTCTATGGTTCTATGATTCTAAATAGCCCTGATTTAAAGAGCAAAGTGAGTGTGATCACCATAATTACATGAGACAAGGACTTCTGTTGCAGAGAAAAAAATATTCTTCTATTGCCTTTTCCAGAAAAAAAATGATATTGACGTTGAAGAATATTTAAGATATTTTTTTAAAAACTCAATGTGACATTAGATTTGACTGTTGTAACCTCTTTTAATGCAGTGCTTAATAAACATTCTTCAGAGGATCTTGCCCATTGTAGTGTTGACTGGAAGTCCATTTTGTGTTAGAGTATCCTCATTAAGGTATTTGTTTCACCATTTCTGCTTAAAAAATGTGGGACTCTGTGCACACATTGTTACAAGACACCTTATTTTCTTGCAAAATCAATACATAGAGTGGCCATTTTCTGTTAAATGCTCAAAAAGATAGATTGAGTTTACATATTTGGCACTGGTCACGAGCTGTGTTTCTAAAAAGTGTGCATTTTTTTGGACACTTAAACTTTCATTGCTACTTTTCAAACTCCTGTATCAATTTCAAATAGGGTGAGAAAGAGAGAAATTCTCAAATGCTGATTTTAAAGGTTTTACAATTTTCCAGCAAGATGCAATATTTTAAAGTTGGAGTTAGGTTTTCTGTATCTCAATCAAGCTGTATCAAGCTTACAATGAAGAAAACATAAAGGCTAAAAATGAAAAAGTTTGCAACTAGATTAATTTCTCACAAGAAATCCCTGTTTAAATGTTCATCTTTTAGTAGATTCATAGGTGTGGGGGTGCGGCAGCAGGGCATGGAAGGTTTAGGTTACACAGTTTCCCTAAATACTCTATTTCAGATATTAAAGGTGAGATTTCAAGTGACCAAAATCTTAGCATCAATAATTTGAATCAGAATTACTTAGTTATATTTGCACAGAAGATTAGTAAAGGCAATTCCAAGTAAATTCCAAGGTGATTAATATACCTGTCATGTTTATATTCTCATTTTGAGTGTAAGCAGTATCTGTAAAAATATCTAGAGTGTTAATGTTGTATTATACAGTTTATCCTCTAAATATTTTAATTTGTGTGGTCCTAAACAGCAAACACTATGTGAATGTATCTGATGAAATTTTATTGCAAAATTACTGCAGTTGTAAGTTTGTTGGGAAATATTTGAGTCACTGGATATTGTTTGGCAACATAAATACAGTTTGAAGTCCTATTACAGAATTTCTGCTTTTTCATTAATGGTTATTTACTAATTCTCCTCTAACAGTCTGTTTTAGTTTCTGCAATCTCTGGAATTCTTTCATGTAATTTGTATGATTATACACTGGAGATTTATCAATCATCTACATTGAAGGTTAGATTACCGAATTGGGGAAAATTGCATTAAATATTACTTTTCTTTTGTTTACAACAAAAAGGTGTAATTTTTCTAGAAATATCCAGCAACTTTGGAAAAGAAACAAAAATACGATCTGCTAGATGAAGTATTCTTGAATGCTGAAGCAAAAATGAAAAGCCACAACTTTCAGTAGAGATATCACTACAGGAAAACAAAACTTAGCATTTTTCAGTTAAACCAGTGATTTCCAATGTCAGTATAAGAATTCTGCATGGAGTCTGATAGGTGAAATGCATATCAGAAAAGAGCAAGGGTCTCAATAATTGATTGTGTACACTGGAAGAACAAACAAATTCTGCTGTGCAATGCAGACATTTGTATCCCCAATTTCAAATTGAAATACATGTCCTTATTTAAATGATATAAATTCAAATTTATCTTTGCATCTTGTACTTAACCATTTTATAATAAAAAGGTTTTGTTTGTAAATGCACCATGTAAATGACCTTAAATAAACTTTCTGAAGCAGTTCAAAGTTGATCTTCCATAAGTTTATCTTTTAGCAACAACATGGCATTTCACTTAGGAACAACTGAAGAATGTGTGATGAGCAAATGAATGTAAAATCCTAAACAGTAATAAGATATAGGAACATAATTAGGCCATTCAGCCCATCAAGTCTGCTGTGCTGTTCAAACATGGCTGATCTGTTTCTCAGCCCCATTCTCCTGCATTCTCCCTGTAACCCTTGATCCCCTTATCAATCAAGAGCCCATCTATCTTTATCTTAAAGACACTGAATGACTTGACCTCACCAGCCATCTGTGATAGTGAGTCCCATAGATTCATCACCTGGCTGAAGAAATTCTTCTTCATCTCAGTTCTAAAGGCTTGTCTCACCACTCTGAGGCAGTACCCTTGGTTCTAATCTCTCCTATGAATGGAAACATCTTCTCCATGTCTGCTGTATCCAGGCTTCTCAGTATTCTGGACGTTTCAATGAGATCTCCGCTCATCCTTCGAAACTCGGTCGACAACAGACCCAGAGTCCTCAACTGTTCCTCAAAGCCTTTCATTCCCAGGATTATTTTCGTGAGCCTCCTCTGGACCACTCAAGGCCAGTATATCCTTCCTTAGATACAGGATTCAAAACTTCACAATATTCCAAATGCAGTCTGACCAGAGTCTTATACAACCTTAGTAGTACATTCCTGTTCTTGTATTTTAGCCCTCTCAAAATAAATGCTAACATTTCATTTTCATTCCTAACTGCCAACTGAACCTGCATGTTAATCTTAAGACAATCCTGAATTATGACTCCTAAATCGCTTTGTGTTTCAGATTTCCAAAGCCTTTCCCCATTTAGAAAATAGTCTATGCCTCTATTCTTCCTACTGAAGTGCATAACCTCACAATTTCCCATATTGTATTCCATGTGCCACTCTCCTGTCCAATTTCCTAGCCTGGCCAAGTCCTTCTGCAGCCTCTCCACTTCCTTAATGCGACTTGTCCCTCCACCTATCTTTGTGTCATCTGCAAACTTAGCAACTCAGTTTCTTCATCAAGATCATTAATGTATTAAGTGAAGAGTTGTGGTCCCAATACTGACCCCTGTAGAACTCCACCAGGCACCGCCATCCTGAAAAAAAACCCTTTGTTCCCACTCAGCACCTTATACCAGTCAGCCAATCCTCTATACCATAACCTGCCCCCTAACGCAATTGGCTCATTCTATTTTTTTTCTGAAGAAGGGTCTCGACCCAAGCCTTCCTGCTCCTCTGATGCTGCTTGGCCTGCTGTGTTCATCCAGCTCTTCACCTTGTTATCTCAGATTCTCCAGCATCGGCAGTTCCTACGATCGCTGGCACATTCTATTTTCTTATTTTCGCAGATTTCTGTGAGGCACCGTGTGAAAAGCTTTCTGGAAATTGAAATAGATCACGTCCACTGGCTCTCCTTTGTCTAACTTGCTCGTACTTTCTGAGAAGAATTCTAACAGATTTGTCAGGCAGGACTTTCATTTGACAAAAATGTGCTGACTCAGCTCTATCTTACCATGCACTTGCAAGTACTCCACAATCTCATTAATGGACTCTTAAAATCTTACCAACGATAGAGGCCAGGTTAACTGGCCTGTATTTTCCCATCTTAAACAGGAGTATTACGTTAGCCATTTTCCAGTCCTCTGTGAACCTCCCTGATTCAGTGATTCCTGAAAGATCACCAATGCCTCCACAATCTGCTCAGCTATCCCCTTCGGACCTTTGGGGTGTATTCCATCTGGTCAGGGTGATTTATCCACCTTCAGATCTTTCAGCTTCACCAGCACCTTTTTAGTGACGGCCACTGCACTCACCTCAGCTCCCTGACTCTCTTGAAGTTCTAGTATGCCGTTGGTATTTTCCACTGTGAAGACTGATACAAAGTACCTATTCAATTCATCCGCAATTCCGTTGTTCCACATGGCTAGTTTTCTGTGGTCCAGTGTTCATTCTTGCCTCTCTCTTACTATTTATATACCTTTTAAAAGAACCCTTCCAATTTTTTCTGTATTAGTAGCTAGTTTATGCTCCTATTTAATAATTTCCCCTTTATTACTGTTTTAGTTAACTGCTGCTGGTTTTTAAAGGCTTCCCAATCCTCTGGTTTCCCACTAATCTTCACCACCCTTGTATGGTTTTATGTTGTTGCTGACTTCCCTTGTAAGCCCCAGTTTCCTCGTCCTTCCCTTTGTTTGTTTCTTTGTCCTTGGGATGAATTTCTGTTGTGCCTCCCAAATTACCCCAGAAACTCATCCCATTGCTCCTCTACTGTCTTCCCTTCCAATCAACTCTGGCCAGCTTCTCCGTCATGTGTTTGGACTGCCAAATAAAAACATTGACTTTTAAATAGATCCGAGAGCTATGTGCAATGATTTATTCAGTACTATATGCAGTAACCTGTGAAAAGTTTAAAAGACACATCAGTAAATTTTACCAGTTGTTTATATTTTGCTATCTCTGTGGTGGTAAATGAATTTATGTGAGCAGTTTTGTAAGCTATTAACCTGATTCACTTTGATGTTGGGTTTACTTTATTGTAATGTTTTATAAAGATGTGTAATATTTTGCATTGGAAACGTGGGTTCTAAGGGTGAACAGAAATAGCTTCAGCTTTTAAGTTTGATATATATTTTTACATTCTGTGGGCTAACAAGGGGAAGACAGTTTCATTTTTGAATTCTGAAAATGGCATCAGGTTGTTGGAATTACGTGCATTCAAGTGAGATGTTTAAAATCTCTGAAGTCAAATAGTTCAATGTTTTCGAAAGAAGGAAAGGAAGAGAAATAATCAACTGGGCTGAAGCAATAATATTTTCTGTGACAAAAAAAAAGGCAGACAGAAACAGCCTCATCTGGAAAAGAGAGAACCAACCACAAAGTTAAGAAGTGTGCGGTTTTCTTGAGACAGTTTCTTTGGCAGTTTCCAAACTGTCGAAGCAGAAGAAAGAAAAGTCCTGGGTCGCTAAATGTCAGTAAGAGAAAAGCTCAAGAAACAGAAGACTGGAGGTGGAACCCATATAAGAAGTACGTGACCTGTGTTTTAGTAGTTTGTTTAAGGATGTCAGGAAGCAATATCAAGGCAGAGGTTTGGTGAAAAGAAACCAATTGCAGCTATTCAAATGAACAAGGAACTTAAAGATAGAAACAGAGTGACTCTTCATTGAGGCTTAAATATCTGTAAGTTTGTTGTTGAGTCTAAAAGGGTTGAATCTTTCTGATATTTGTAATAAGACCTCCAAATAATTTGTGATTTTTTTTGTGTAATAAATGTTTTACTTTAGTTGAAAGTACATTGGCAATTTTTAGTGAATATATTCATGATAATTTTGGAAATACCTTTGGCAGACATACAGAACCAAAAGTATAGGAATTGTGTCTGAGCAGTTC